GCATTGCATGGCCAACCCGAATCCAAATTAAACGTCGCAAAGCTCTACTGAACATCTTGAAGCTGAGGGCAAAAGCATGAAGCTTGAGAGGGTGGATACAGGGGGCTGAAAGCGGACTCGTGTGAGCCGAAGGCCCTTCCTTCGAGCTCGCCAAAGCCTTGGCCGCAGAATCCGAGGCGCAGCGAACTCCGCAGTGATCCCCGTCTTCTTCTAAGCAGCATGAGTTTGCACATTCGTAAGCAGGCTAAAGAGCGCCCGCACTGAAGTCAGAACACTTTGAAGCCCGAGCATGCAGCACCTGCAAGAAGCTCCTTGCCCGGCCTCGGAGGTGTTTTCGGTCACCATCCAACGACCCGAAGAGAGGTGGGGGGAGCGAAGGGGAGAGAAGAGGGAGAAGGGGAGGGGTGAGAAGGGAGCAGTCGTGCACCGGCCACGCTGGCTTTTTTTTTGACCTAGACTTCGACAACACGAGCAAAGCCGTGAACTGTGCTGTTTGGAGTTCAGGGGATACGGAGGAGCCCGGAGAAGTTTGCTGCAGTTTGCTTCAGCCGGGACCTTCAAACCAGGAAGGTGGTCTTGCACCGACCGGGGGAGATTGGCGTCGTCTTGAATTACAAGAAGGCCGCATCGGGGTCAATTAGCCTTGAGAGTTGCACGAAACATCATCCTAATGAGCCTTGAGAGTTGCACGAAACATCATCCTTTGCAGGATGTTGAGTGTCTGTACCACGTTAGGGTTTCAGCTTTGGGCAGTTCGCACAACTTGCAACTCCGCAGGCAGGCTCGGTGTCGCCCTGGATCTCAAAGATAAGCGCGGGCTTGCTGAGCCAGTGGAACCAGGCCGAAGAAGAATTCTAAATGTGGGCATGAGGAGGACTGGTTGCTCCCAAAGAAGTTGCTAGGGCCCTGCTAGCTGCTAGGGGACAGTGGCTGAAAGCGGGTCATCCATCGAGAGCATCGGACAGGTCAGAGGCAGAGTGGAGGGACGATGCTCTCCAGACAGTGGTTATGTAACAAGGAATGGAGCCCCCGCAGTCGAATCTGAATGGCGAGTCCAGCTTGCGCCGGATCGTAAGCTGAAACGCAGGCGACCCCAGAGGAAGCTGTGCAAGCTCACGACCGCATTGTGGCCGTCAACGGAACCAGGGGCACTCCCGAGGAGAGTGCCGTGAGATTTGTGAAATCATGTGACTTCTGAAACGGGTCTTGGACGGCTCGCCGTTTTCCGGAGTCTTGTTATGACATGAGGGTCATCCCGTTGCTGGCGAGTAAAGCCTTCCCATTCTAAGCCCACACGACTATTCGGAGCGGCTATGCCCACACTATCACGCACACGCGATACCAGTAGCAGGACCTGATGACGAAGATGAAGGAGGCCGATTCAGTACTGCAGGTCGTACTTGAAAGTCGTAGAACCCAAGTTTGGACAGGATTCTTTGAACGGAGCAAGATAGTAGATTGGAATCTGGGCTTGCTGCGGCTTGCTTGTTGTGGAGTCTTGGACACAGCTTGCGAAAGGAGCGAGGACAATGGATGGACTTTGTGGGAAACTTCAGAGTTATAAGCAAGGGAAGCCACCCCGAAGGTCGCACAAAGCAGTCACCAAAAGCACAAAGAACTACTTTGCAAGGGCTGCTTGAGGAGGACAGATGCACCAGCTCGGCATAAGAATCGGGTCCCGAGAAAGTTGCTCCGTTGCTCTACCCTGCGGAACCCGTTCGGAACGTGGCCTCCATGACACCAAGTATAACGTGCTCTCTCTCTTTCTGTGCGCACAATACTGTTTTAATCGCGCGTTCTTTGCATGATAATAAATACTACTGTGCATTCAGTTCGTGTGCTACCCTCATTCTGCTTCTCCCTCTGAGTGCTCTCTTGACAAGGAACCCACCCTGGAGACCCCAACATCAGGTTCTCCAGCTATAAGCGTGTAACACCCCAATTCGTATCTCTGCTGTTGTTCATATTATTTTAAAGGCGCGGCCAATAATTGCTACACTTTAATGTGGGGGGCAAAAAGTGCTTTGACTTAACTTGTTCAATTTTTTTCATGTCGTTCATTTCTTATTTGTTCTTATTCATGTTCTTCCCCCCCCCCCCCCCCCCCCGACCCTCGGTGTGGGGTTGTTAGATTTTAAACTCAACTCTTCTCCTCGCCCGGAACTCTTCTCCTCGCCCGGGCCTCTTCTCCTCGCCCGGTCTACTCCTCGCTCATCCCTGGAGTGCCCAACTCTAGAGTCCCTGGAGTGCCCAATCCCAGAGTCTCCCTGGAGTGCCAAACCTCAGCGTCTTCTTGGAGTGCCCAATGCCAGAGTGTCCCGGAGTGCCAAGCCGCAGAGTTTCCCTGGAGTGCCGAACCCCAGTCTCCCTGGAGTGCCCAACCGGAGTGCCCAACCCAGAGCGCCCAACCCCAGAGTCTCCCTGGAGCCCAACCCCAGAGTGTCCGTCTCCAGTGAGTCGTCTCGTGCCAACTCCAGAGTGTCCCCGGAGTGCCCAGCCCCAGAGTGTCCCTGGAGTGCCCAACCCTAGAGTATCTCTACCAAGAGAGGGTGGGGATGTTCGAAGTAAAATAATTCCTTTTCTTCTTTTTGGAAATTCATTCGTTTCATTTCATGCATTCACTCCGATTACGCGGTGTTCATATGAATATTGAGAGGACGTAATGCGTGCTCTCTCTGCATCATATTCATGCACGACGAATGTACGCCTTAACAACGATAATAATCTGGTGAGCTTGTGAACAGCCAACGCAGTTTATGCGCATGTGACTTTAGTTGTAATATTGGAGTGTTTACAACAGCCAAGATTAGCTGCCAGTCAAGGTACATCCAACATTCGCCTTTCCTCACATCCTTCTTCTAATCTCACTGCCAGGCAAAGGAAAACTTCGTTCATCCAATTCGTGCTCCCTATAAACGCGCTCGTTGTATTCATTTCGTACAGTCACCCGATATTTACCTTCATCCGGTAGTACACTTCCCTTAATACAGGAGCGAGCGAAGTGAGTGTGCGAATGCGTGATCGAATGATACAAGAAAACAGAAAACACATGAACGAATGAGCGCTGCGTTCACACCTTATGTCAATTCACGCTTTGCTTGCGTTTCATTCACTTCCTTTGTAATTACAGTAATGTGCTCTTCACGGAATAATATGATGAGCGAACTAGAGAACGAATGCCCTTAATAATGCTATTCGAAGCCCGTCTTATAATGATGGTCTGTTCACCCTAGACTTGAAGATGAAGACAGAAGACTCGTGCATCTAGGTCCAGCTCCAGCGGCAAGACTCATGAAAAAAACAAAGTGAATGCATGCGTGCCTTATAATTCACTTGGTGGAGAGAGCCTTTAGTGGGTTTCATTTTGATCACAGGGTAGGTTCGAAAGGTACGATGTTAAGATTTACCACTCTCTCCCTTTCACACCTTGAGACCCAGACCGCTGAAAGGAACCCCCACGCGCCCTTTACCGTGAATACAAGACTAGCCGAATCATCCTGGAACTTGGAGCCCTGAATCATATGGTTGTTACTGCCTCAAAGGCCCCAAACACCTCCATGAAAAGGCTATATGATATATAATTATATATATATAGATGGGCGAACAGATGAACAAGAGTGAGAGAGCGTACCTGATATCCAAACGCCTGTGTCTCCCATGTCAGGACCTACAATATGTACAACTCACAAACCTTCCTGCGTCACACTCGCTAAATATGGGTTACAAGAATTACAAGAACGCTCGCGTTTGGGCATGTTTCTTCCAGCCTTTCACGCCCTGAAGTCTCTGCATCCTGCCTTCCTCCTGCCTGTCCCCTTCACCGCCAAAGAGAAGGCGAGCGCTGTACTGGAACTGACCATCCTGCACTACGCAGTCTGAGCGCTGAAGCGCCACGCCCTCTCTACTTTTCAAGGGCTTCCCATGCTCTCAGCCGGCAGATGTGTCGGCTTCAGATTGGTTGCGAGCTCCAAAACCATCTGGACCATCTAGACGGCCGCTAACATGAAACCTTCAATAGTTGAATGGAAGGGGTGGGCTGTACATTCTGATGGAGCACTCGGCAAATGGATCGCTCTGGAGCATAGAGCCCAACATTCTGAAAAAAACATGCCCACCCAAGCCTTTGAAAACAGAACTGCTGAACCAGTTCGGAGGCCAAGGCAGTTAACAAACTGCTCAGAGCTCGCGTTTGCTCGTGCTTGACACGTGGACACGTGGAAGAAGGTCCGGATCACCCCTCGCCACGCACGAAGGTTCAAGAGCTTACGGGGGAAAGGTTTCGATGTTATGGTGACAGCGCAGTCAAGCGCGGGGTTCTTCGCTGCTTTGTGAGGGTTTGGAAAGTGAAGCGTTGCAGCGAGATGAATGCGCATGTTTCTGCGTGGTGAGACATGAGTCTGGAGGTAGCGGTTTTTACGAACCACGTCAACTGCTGCACTTTTTGAAAACTGGGTAGAGAAGGGCTGTTCTGCCAGTGGCCGCAACAAGCTGTGCAACAGCGAAAGCATCTCCGCGGTTCTGCTTTACAGAAGATGAATATGTGCAGCAGCGGACCATTTTGCAGGTGTGTCAGCTGAATGGCAGTGCTCTCAGTCGTGGTCTTGCCGCTACTTGACTAAGCCTGTCGACGACTGCAATTGCAAGGTGTCAGTCTCAGCCTGTTCAGAGTTTGGGCTTGCCTCCCGCCTCGCACCGCATCCCGCGAACAAAACACCAAGAACTAGAATGCAAGCGCGCGTGAAGAGGCCTGGCGAGCACAACTCTAGTCACGAGTCTTCACTTGACTTTGCCCCTGAATGGGGGATTCTATGGACTGAGGCAACAGCGTTGCAGAGTAAAATCTGGGGCGGCTTGTGTGGATTTAGCTCTGAGGGCCTAGGGCATGAGATCGACACTTCAGGCCGTAACGGACTAGTTATTTTGCAGCCCAGACTTTGAAAGCCAATGGTGAATGGCTGGATCTGTGCTCTGTGGAATTGTCTCCTTACTGGTGCCCCGAGGAGCAGCTGCTGTCTGAGAGGACCTAGGACAGCGTCGGTGCCCCAAAGCTGGCATGAGTGATAATGGCTCCGAGCTGCGCGCGAGGGCGTGTTGGCCAGAACTTTCCACAGCAGTGGCTGCCATTGTTTGACTGGAACAGACAGCTGTTTAGTTGAAGGTTCCACGTTCCATTGCCAATCCTATTCAGCACCAGAACCACTTGTCGTAGCGACCACCATTTTGGAACCCTTGATGCTTCTCTTCAACAACTGTGATTTGGCCAATGCCCCTGGGTAGACCTCCGCGATCGCTGCCACTGTGCTTCAAAGGAGCACTTGCCAGTGCCGCCCGCGATGAATCGGAAAAGAAGTGATGGATGGAGTTGTCGCTCTTGATCCCAAACCCCGCATCTCCTGCGACAACTGCAACGGCATCGTTTGTCGCGACTATATCACTATTGGTCTTCAGCATCTTTCCAGCAGTCCAGAACGAGTGACTACACGAGTTATTCGGGAACAGACGAACCTTTGCAAGCTCTCACTTCGTTTCTGGGAACATAAGGACCTTCTAACTTTGCAGGTCTGAGCCATAGACACACAGCGCTTTGAACCTGCCAGGCTCGTTGCCCTATTCGAGCGCAAGGCACATGATAGTTCGGAGTGTTTTCCCTCCTTGTTGAATAAGTCTTTGTCGGCAACATGTGTCGCGTGCCTTTGGACTGGTTTGAGGTCAATCCGGGAAACAAGGCTTTGAGGATTAGATTGTTTCTTCGGGAGGGCCTGGCAGTTCTGATCCTGACATGACCTGTTTGTCACAGGCCGATGTAGTTGTCCCAGTCAGGGTGAGCTGTTGCGCCTTGGTTCGTTTCAAGCTGAACTGGCCTGAGTTGCCTGAGTTGCTCTGCCTCTGAAATTCAGGTGCAATTTGTTGAGCCTGCGGCAGCCTCACCATCCACAGGTCGAACGGTGGGCAGACGGGGGGCTGAGTGGGAACAAGGTCAGCGCTCACGTTGCACGCGAGAAGAAGATTCAAGGTACCCTTGGATGTCAGGTGCGTGACGGCTGAAGAAACGCTGCCTTGCACAGGCAGTGTACCGGCGGAGCCATCAACACAGGAAGCCAGAGCCCAAGCAAGGCTCAGGGTGTAAAGAGGGAGTGATCACAATCCTGCACCTAAAAAAACGAAGAGACGAAACCCAATAATACGCAAGAAGGCCCCTTTTTGCATCTTTATGACCTTTAACGCGCAAAATCGTCTAGCAGCATGATGGCGTGTGACTTTGATATTCAGCACTTGCGCCGGCAATTTCCCACGGATCGCTGCATCAAGTTTCCAGAAGAGTCACGCCCACGGTGTCACCAGACATTTTGTGCAAAGCTGAGTATTGGATGTGTCGTGAGAACCGAAACCCGTCACAAGAGGCAGACAATGGCCACCACCCAGCATGGAGGTGTTTCTGGGCTAGGGGGCCTCCAGCCACAAAAGCTGCCAGGGCTCTCCAGAAGGAGGGGGCACGGAGGCCCGTGGCTGAGACTTGCTTTGGATTGATCGGGGAGAGGGCTCAAAAGCCCAAGTATTGACAAAGGCACTCCCCGTGAGTCTAAGCGGCAGTGTCGTAGGTGCAGAAGCAATATGGCTGTTTGTGATCATCCTCGCTCAATCAAGAAGTAGGACCCACGAAACTCTCAGGCGGTCCCGGCCGCGGTCCCGGCCGCGGTTCCGGCTGCTGTTCCGCCACCGGAAGACGAGGTTTAATGGGATATCGGGATAGGGAGAAGGACCGGATTGTAGGTACATGGGGTATTGGAAGTTTAAACGGGCAGTTGAAGGTTGGAACCAAACTATCACCGTGTATGGCTTGTCCAACAGAGACCACACTATGCGGGTGAGGGGCACACTCCTGGCTCGCCTGCCAAGCATCTTACGGGATATGCGGTGAGGGCTTGGCTCTGTAACCACGATTTGGACGGCTTCAATACCTGATACCTGGACTCCGGGACTCCTTGGACCCTGGACCCTTTGGGTGTCAAGGCTCCTTTGCAAATCGCAAGTCCAAATCCTTTCTGCTTCGTTTAGAGCGTGGAGATCCTGCGGCTTGGACTTGAAAAAGCAGATGCTAGGATGCCCAGTAAGCCATAGCCAACTTGCCACTGGCACAGAAATACGCCATCTACCGGCGGATGCAGCGTACTGGAGTGCCGAGGGCTCATCGTTCGCAGGCGAGTATTGACGTCAGTCCTAAAACTGGCGTCATGTCTGACATCATGCGGTCGACTTTTTTTTTTGCCAGAGTGCATGACACGAGGGCTCAGCGACCGACCCATAGGCTCTCTACTCCTCAAGAAGCCGAACATCTGTGTTACTTGGCAGCTGCAACCCAGGCCTCTGATGGCCATCCGGCAGAAGCTCCTCCTCGACGCACTGCAGGTGCAGGGGTGCGGGATTGCGTGCCGAAAGAAGTTTTCTGCTGGCAGGATCCAACGCTAGATGTTGCGGTGCTGGACAGTTTCGACGGTGCCCCGCCGCAAGGCTTCCGGCCCCAATCATATTATGTCCACTATGGCTTCGGTCATGTGCGTCAGAGTTTGTCAGAGTCAATTTCTTCTTCAAAGGGTTGCAGAGCCGTCATGAAGGCTGAGGAACTTTGGCGTGGATCAATATTGTCGACCATGACCATGCTGTCTATTCAGACTTCTCAAACATCCCGGCGCAGGGCTTGGGTCCATCCCGCCGGCCCCGCGCGCGGAGGCGGAGAGAGGGACAACCGAGGGACAGATAGGGGACACAGAGGGACCAGGAGGTGGATTGAGATGAGGGTTGAGGCGGTGAAGGGCCGCACTCTGTGCGGGGCTTTGAATGCCCGCTCTCTTTTTTTCTCTCAAGAGGGCTTGCAAGTCCTGGACCTAGAGCTGCAGCGCAGGCAAAACCGAAACCGAAACCGAGCCCGCAGCCGCCTGTGGAAAAGCAGGAGGGCGTTGCATGCACTTGTTGTTTTGTTGTCTGAGCCTTGTGGGCAGAGCTAGAAAATGAGCCAGACGGAAGAGTCGATGGGACGGACTCCTTGGCCTTTATTTCTTGGAGCAACAGCGCGTCCGTCGCCAGCACATGCAAAGAGTATTTGAATGTGAACCTCTATTGCGAGGTCTGAGCTATCAGTTACGAAGCCTTGATTCCTCAAGCACGAGCAAACGGGGCCTTCCCCTGAGCCCGAAGTCACTTTCCAGGAGCCGGCCGAGCCGCCGGCTGAGCCGGGCGCTCCCGAGGCGGAGGTGGCTCCGGAGGCGACGCCTCTTTTGCAGTAGGCTTTGCTTCCCCAAGCAGAGGTTAGTTTCCTTCAAAGGAGCTCCGACTAGGTTGGATGGGTCTGTGGGATTGTCGGTGTCCTGCGTCTCACCTTGTCTTTGTTTTTAAAGGTTCTGGTCCCCGTTAGGTAACAAGTTTTGTAAAAAAGAAAATAGTTCTGGACGATTTAGAACTCACCTGCTGAAGATATTTGCAGCTGAAAGTGTCGCTGTGTCAGACCCATAGACTGCTGGTTCATGGAGTGGTGGTAGAACAATCATGCTGAGTGGCTAAACGATGAGGCATGAATGCTGCGAAAAGAGATGAATTTTGTTTGTAGGTTTGGAACAGGGAGATGTCCGAGGATCTTGAAAGCTTCGGTTCGAGCAAACTTTGACTCGTGCAGATGCGTCGCACTTATGCGAACACGGACCGTGCACTGATGGTCACGGTGTTGGAGATGCGATCCACGCTTTGCCTAATGGATCGTTGGAAGGAAGTGCTTCCGTCTCTTCTACAGCTAGGCATCTCCTTCGGCACCGCTCCAGCTCGCCGTCGTTTATTCTTGAACGTGGACCTTCCGATGTTGTTTTGTTTGCAACTTGCATACATCATACCGGTTGTTCGGTGACTGTCACTAGAACTCCAAGAAATGGAGCGACGCCCGGGATTGTCATGGCAAAGCAGTGGGCGTCCTGTTGTTGACCGAAGTTTTGGTACCGCTCGAAGGGCCGTGAAATCAGACGAACTTGGGTCCCCGTGACTTGGACCGTGATTCATGACTCCCCGCCTCCGTTGAGCAAAAGACTCAAATGCTTTTGTCCTTGAAACCACAGCGCCGCAACTGTCAGGAACAGCCCCCTCCGGCACCTAGCGCGCCTAGCGCCCCAACGCCGGCCAGTGCCCCGAGCCCTGAGCCTAGCTGAGCGGGAACATGACGGGAACATGGTGCTGTGGGGGTCGAAGGGCATGGGCCATGGATGGGTGGGGCGAGGGGGTGTGGGGTGGGGGGGCGGAGGCGGCGCGGGCATGCACTAAACCCCTTAAGACTCAGCTTATTTCAAGGGCATGGGGCCATGGGTTGGGGGGAGGGGGGGGGCGTGGAAGTGAAGGGGACGAGGTTTGGGAGGGGGAGGGGGTGGGGGGTGGGAGGGGGCGAAGGACATGGTGCCGTGGACATCAACCTGGCAATCAAAGAGAAAGTGGCAGCCTTCTCATGCCCAAGTTGCTAAAAGCCTTATCGCTGCAATGTTTTCCTTGTTACTCCAGAAATTGTTTCGCCCAACGTGGAAGGACCTCCAAGCATCATCCGTTCAGCATACTGCGCCCTCGAGCTGAGCAAATATCCTGAAGCCTCCAGTTGAGCGCTCCGCAAACCGCCGAGGCTTGGCAGCTGCAGCCCGGAGCCTAACCCATTGACACAAGGTTGTGGGCTTGTTGGGCTTGTTGGCTTGCTTGGGTGATGTCTCACAGACCACAAGCGTAAGCACACATTCGGCATCATTCGGCGTAGCATCACGAGCTGCCCCCAAGCCATCCCCAGCCCCAACACAGCATCGCCAGCACCCTACTAACTTTTCTCCGGCCCTAACGACTGCGATGCTGCTAGATTTCTGCTGAAATGCCGATGCTTCCTTACGATTGCTTACGAGCTAACGTTGGTCAAGGCCGCGGCCGCTGCACAGCGGCGCATGACGCGAACTTTGCAAGCGAAGGAGGCCAAGCAGGGTACGCATGAGCTCAGGGGGTGAAACTTACACGAAGC